GACTTATTGCCAAAATTACATAAAAAACTTCACCACCTCAACACCAAAAAGACAAACAACCCAATTAAAAAATGGACAAGGGACATGAATGAACAGACACCTCACTAAAGAAGATATACTGTCAGCCAACAAACACATGAGGAAATGCTCACGATCGTTAGCTATTCCAAACCAAACCAAACTCATTGCTGTTGAGTCAAATCAGACTCATAGCGACCCCTCCTTGGGTTTCCAAGGTGGTATCACTACAGAAGTAGATTGCTCATTGGAGAGATGGATATTAAAACAGCAATGAGATATCATTTCAGCTCAGCAATAACAGCAAAGTTCAACAAGACAGAAAATAACAAATGCTGGTGAGGTTGCAGAGAGATTTGAACTCTCATACACTGCTGGTGGGACTGCAAAATTGTACAACAAATATGGAAAATGGTATGGCATTTCCCTAAAAAACTGAAAATGGAAATACCATTTGACCCAGCAATTCCATTACTAGGAATATATCCTAAAGAGGTGAGAAACAGGACATGAACAGACATAGGTACACCCATGTTCACTGCAGCACAATACAATTCACTATAGCAAAGAGATGGAAACAACTTAAATGCCCACCACCAGATGAATGGATAACCAAACTGTCATACATTCACACAATTGAATATTATTCAACTTCAAAGAATAATGAATACATGAATCATCTCACAACATGGATGAATTTGGAGGACATTATGCTCACTGAAATAAGTCAATCACAGAAGGACAAATATTGTATTAGCCCATTATTGTAAAAAGCCAAAGAAAGGTTTACTCAGGGAAGGAAACTCACTTGTAGGTTACCAGGGATGGGAGGGAAGGAGAGGGAAAATTTCAGACTAGTTGGGGGTCACATGTTGATTTGGGTGAGGGGAGGGGTGGTGTGGAAAGAGTCTGTGACCAGCATGATGACAATGGGGAAAGGAAGGACACTGACATGTGCACATAAGATATAGACAGCAGAGGCAAATACTGGTATATGCACAATACTGCATTACCATGAACATCAAACACCAAGTTATGGATAAATGCAAAGACAGGTGAGAAGATCAGGTGGGGGTAGGTGAACAGGAATATACCCTAGATCAATGATAGATTTGGCTGAAGATAATCTTACATAAGCTACAAAATTAGCCACATATGTTACAGAAGCAACAGAAAGCAGAGTTGGAGAAACTTCTCAGAGACAACCAAACACATTGAGAGAGAGAATCACCAGGACTGCCAACTCAGGACCATAGTCTTGGGTGATATCATGTTCAACTGGCACAACATAGTACATAAATATCTTGTTTTACAACCTACTTTGGTGAGTAGCAACTGGGGTATTAAAAGCTTTCGAGCGGCCATCTAAGATGCAACTATTGGTCTCCTCTCATTGTAAGCAAAGAAAAGTAAAGAACATCAAAGGCATCTGGAAATAATTAGTCCAAGAATAAGATGGACCATGAGGACTTCAGCCTTCATGACCCCAAGACCGAAAGAACTAGATAGTGCGTGGCTACTGATGCCAACCATTTGGAAAGGGATCAAAACTGTAGATTCTGGATAGAGTGGAAGGAAAAATGTGAGACAAAATTCAAAAACACAAAAATGACCAGAATTACTGATCGGATAGAGTCTGGTGGAACCCTTGAGACAATGACCCAAGGTTACCCTTTGGGTCTAGAAAGGGACTCATTCCAATGGATTGGCTCTCAGCCTAGCATTAGAAAGACCTACATGTAGAACACTTACCCCAGGATGATGTATCCACTTACTCTAGGGAGATGCACCCCTTAGAGCATTCAGCCATGAGACATCAGAAGGGCAGCATTCACACAGAGGGAAAGCTGGGCAGACAGGAATGAATAGCTAAGAAAGGCACAGGAAGGGGTTAGTCACAGGGATAGGAGGGGAGGAGAGTTTTTGTTATGGTCAGGGATGGTAATCAACACATGAAATCAAATGTGCATGAACTGTTAAATGTAAAACAAATTTGCTTTGTAAATTTGTACCCAAAGCACAATAAAATGTTTTTTAAAAAAGAAAAATAATGGGATAGGACAAAGTTTGGAGGTGGTGGCTTGCTTTCCCTGGTAATAAGACTTATCATAAAAATAAAGTAACTAACAGTGTGTGATACTGATGTGTGGAAAGATAAAGAGATGAATGGAAAGAAGTTGAGAGTCTAGTAAAAAGTCAGTGACACATGATATATGATAGCAGTGATTCTGCAGATCAAAGGGGAAAATTATTATTCCCATTGGAATACTTGGCATCTTCATGAGAAAGAAAAAAAAAAAATTAAATGTGATACCTAGCTCACATAAAACATAAAAGCAAATTGTAGTTGGACTAAAGATTTAAATGTGAAACACAAGAAAACTATATAGTTATCAAAAGATAACATGCGAATACTTCCATGATCAAAGGGTAGACTATTTCTTAACTTACAAAAAAAGAACAAATCATAAAGTAAAAGACTGATTCATTCTAATTCATTCAAATCAAAACATGCCACTAAGAGAATGATAGACAATTCACAAACTGAGAAAAATAACTGCTCCAAAAAACAAAATTACTAATAATATTGTAAAATCCTTACACTTCAGAAAGAAAAATGCAAATTATAAAAAAAAATATAGGCAAAAGATATCAATATGCACTGCACATAGGAGAAAACAGAAAAGGCCAATATACTATGAAAAACTGCTCAAATACATTAATAATTAGATAATTAAAATTACAACAGCAGTGAGATATGAGCTCACATCCATCAGATTGGCAATAAAAAGCAGTATATGAACAACAATACCAGCTCTTGTTTGATGTTGGTGGGATGAAAGTGGTGCCATTTCAGAAAAAAACTTGATACTACCTGTAAAGCTGCACTTACTGTTGCACCTACTGTTGTAGTTAAGTAGCATAGACTCCAGGACCTAAAGAAATACCTTGCATGAGTGCACCAGAAGACACATACAAGACCGTTCATTACTCATCACTACATCTCCAAACAGGAAAACCTAAATTTCAGTCAATGGCAGAATGGATGAACAAGCTGTAATATAGTCTTACTATAGAACACTGTAAAGAAATGAAAACTCAAGACCTCCAGCTACACACAACATGAATGAATCTCAATTCACTCTAATTCCAACAGAATACATAAAGTATAATTTCAGTTATATAAAATTCAAACATTAAATAATTTATTGTGTGGAAATGCATTTAATACAGGTTGCAAGGGAATTGTTACCCCCAACATCAAGACAGTGGCAGGTTGGGGCAATGGAGACAAAGGATGCGATGGGAAAGGGGCACAGAGAGAGCATATTCAGTACTAGTCGTGTTCTACTTTATAGCCTTGGTGGTAGGTGTACGACATTCCTTTCTATTACTCTTTAATGTGTACATACATGGTTTATACATCATAAATGTCACAGACAAACACAGTAAATATGTTGAGGAAAAGAATCAAGACCAGAATATATATAGCATGATCCCATTATGATGTTTAAAACAAGGTAAAACTAAATCATATGTTGTTTAGGAATGCAAAGACCACAGCAAAATTAAAAAAAAAAAAAAGCATTGACCAATATAAAATCTAGGTTCTTGACTATCTCTGAGATGACAGAAGAGAGCCATGTGAGAAAAGGTGCACTCAGGGGACTTCCTATGGTTCTACTGATACATTCTTTGTGAAGATGGGTGACAGGCACAAGGATTTTTATTGTACTATTTTCTACTAAATAGTTTTATATGTGTCAATATACCATTCTGCAGATAATTCACCGTTTAATTTTAAAATAAATGTAAAAAAATAAGTAAATAATTATTTAATTGACAAATGATGAGATTTCTTGTGGATGCCCTCTTGACCCTAGGCAAATTTTGCCTGCATTTTAATGAGGGACTCTAGAAAAAATAAGATGAAGCCTAAGCCCTGGTAGAAGGATTGAAACAGTGAAAGGACTAGGGTAGTCTGGGAAAATATACGAACGCTCTGTTCCGCCTTTTTCCCTAAATATTCTAATATTCCCAGAACACTCAGACACCTGACATCCCAGAACTTAAAGGTTTGGTGATGTTCATAAATAGCCCTTTCGTCCATAGGTTCTCGCACCACCCATTAGCTCAGGGATGAGGTAAAGAGATGAAGAATTTTAGCAGGCTACCTCAGAAAACTTCCTGCCCAAAGGCTGTGTGGACAAAAACTCATAACACCACTCTGGGTGAGAGAGATTTTACTTAGGAAGTTACCCCTTCTCAATTCTTCCCATGTGCATGTAGTGCAGATTAAATAAGGCAGTTGTATGGTAATACAGAGATTATTAAAACCATTCTTTTTGAGTTCTGACAATGAAGCAGTAGATATGTATCTACTACATAGTTGTTAGTCAAAATAGTATGTTTCAAATAATCAATTGGTATTCATTTAAAATACAATAATGGTCTTATTAAAGCTAAATTTAATACATGCTGTATTTGGAAGTAATTTCTTTACCACCACATAGAAACCTTTCCAGCTGTCTTTTTTTTGTTGCATTGTTGACATTCAGTGGCGAATTAGAAGACTCTCTGATGAAAATCCCCTAAGGCTAGACATGTGGGCTTATTTTCAGCTCAAACTCAGTATCAATGACTTCCCTAATACAGCTCCAACTGTCCCAAATCGATGTGCAAATTATAAGTGGAAACCAATTTATCTTAAAAAATTTGAAGGGCAGGATGGACATTGCATAATTTTTAAATGGGAAGAATAAAATTCATAGTAAGGACATATAAACGAATAAGCAGTTCTTGATTTTCAACTATTTTTCAACAGCTACCATGAAAAAACCTCTTTCTTGTTTACCTTTTAACTTACTCATCTTTAACAAACTCTGCCTTTCCAATTTTGAATTTATTTTGCAAAAGTATTTATTACTAGTAATGTTAAAAACAACAGAAAATAAAACTATTATCAGGTAGAGAAAGATTACCTGAGTTGGAGCACAGGGAAAATACTCCATCTTCATTTCCACTAAAAATCAAATATTTAATGCTGTCTCCAGTTGAATGAGGGGTAAAAGCTTTTACAGTCACAATGGAAGTACCTGTAAAAATTAAGTAAAAAATAATTCCTTTAGAAAAAGAAATTTTCAGAGAAAACAAGGGGAAACACTGAGCAGTTATTTGCCTACTTTATTTTCAGCTATTCATTCATTCAACAATTACTTACTAAGCATCTTCAATAAGCCGGATCTGATCCTAGGTGGTGAAATATGTGGCAAATGATAGAGAAGGTCTCTAGTCTCATTGTGATATTAACAAGTGGAGGAGACAGACAATAAACCATTAAACAAATAAATGAACAAGGCAGATTCCAGACTGTGTTAAGTACTGGAAAGAAATGAACAAATTTATATGATAAACAAAACAAACGAACCTGTTGCAATCAAGCTGACTCAGACCCATAGCTACCTTATAGAACAGAGTAGAACTGCTCCATAGGATTTCCAAGGCTGTAAATCATTATGGAAGCAGATAGCCATATCTTTCTCTTTCAAAGTGGCTTTTGGGTTTGAACCACCAATCTTATGGTTGTTGCCAAGTGATTTAACCACTGTTCCACCAAGATTCCTTCGTATATATGTTAGAAACCATTTTTTTGAAGGTGGTGAGCAACTCTTTTAGGGAAACCTGGGAGAAGTGACATTCCAGTTAAACCTTGCAGGATAAGAAGTCATGGAAAGAACCTGAAGACAAAAATTCCAGGAGAATAAACAGTAACAACTACAAAGGCCCTGGGCTAGGAAAGTGCTTGGTTTGGCAAAGTACAGTAAGTGAGGGAAAGAGTAAGAAAGTGAAGATGACATGGTAGGCAGGGTCATATTTTATTCTAAATGAAATGAGAGATCATGGAGCAGAGTAAAATAATCTGATTTACTTTTCAAAAATATCACTCTGAGTGTTGTGAAGAGAACAGAGGAGAGAGGTAAATTAGAACAGAGGAGAGAGGTAAATTGGAGCAGAGAGACCAATGAAGATAAAATGCAAATTGTTCAACTGAGAGAAAATGACCTAGGATCATGGCAGAGGAAATGGAAAGTGGACAGATCAAATATATTTTGGCACACTGCCCTGAACATTTGTTGAGATGTGGAAAGGAGGTCGGTTATAGGAGTATAAATACAAGAAATCTTCCCTCCAATTTAGTTGTAGGAAAAAGCAACCCAACTGGAGAGTAAGTGAGGGTTCCTAGGTGATACAAATTCATCCAAGAAGTGTGAAGACATAGTAAGAGTAGCCAAGAGATAATGTCAAAGAACAAGGAGATATTGAGTTACGTAGGCATTAGAAAGACAGAAAAGAAGGAAGTTGCTTTATGTTATGAGGAATGAAGATTACCATGTACTGCATTGTGACAATAAAACAATTAGTATGACTACAACTGGGGCCATATAAGGCAGGAAGGGAGAGGTGAGGGGTGAGGAAGGGAAGGAGAGGTAGGCAAGACTATGGGAGACCATAACAATCAAAGAAAATCATAGCTTTATTTTAACTTTTTCTCTAAAAGGCCAGTTAGTAAATATTTTTAGTTTTGTGGGCCATACAGTCTCTGTCACAAATATTTAACTCAGCCACCATACCGCAAAAGTAGTCATAGAACAGATTTATGCACACCCATGTTCACTGCAGCACTATTTACAATAGCCAAAAGATGGAAACAACCTAGGTGCCCATCAACAGAAGAATGGATAAGCAAGCTATGGTACATACACACAATGGAATACTATGCAACTCTAAAGAATAACGTAGCATCTGCAAAACATCATGTAATGTGGAGGAACTTGGAGGACACTATGCTAAGTGAAATAAGTCAATCACAGAAGGACATATATTGTATTAATCTGTTGTAAAAAGTCAAGGAAATGTTTATATATGGAAGGTAATTTTCTTTGTTGGTCACCCGGTTACCAAGGGTGGGAGGGGAGGGGAAGGGTGGGAACACTGTTAGATAGGTAGAGACAAGTATTGATTTGGGGGAAGAGAAGGAAATACACCAAATGTGAGTAGTCAACACAGTGACACTGAGGAAGAGAAAGACACAGAGAGATGCGTGGGAGGTACAGACAACAAAGATGAATCATGTTGCACGTAAGAACTGCATTGTCACTGAAGGCAAGCATTGATAATATGGGCAGATTGATGGGTACACAGGCTGAATTATTAGGTATGTCCATGCAGGAGGGAGTGTGCCCAAGACCATGGATAGAGTTGGCAGACAATGTTTCGACAAGTGTATTTGAATGTTCTGTAAGAATTCCCAGGTATATAGTAGAGCTGAAAAGGGGCAAGGTTGTAGCCACATCTTGGCCATAGCCAGCTACCCAGAGGGACTGAGTAGTTGGACCTGTGGGCTCAAGACCACAGTCACAGGGGATGTCAAGCTCAATTGGCATAACATACTACACAAAAAACATTCTTTCACATCCTCCTTTGGTGAGTAGCTACTGGGATCTTAAAAGCTTGCAAGCAGCCATCTAAATGCAATGATGGGTCTCTCCTCATCCAGAGCAAAAAAGAATGAAGAAAATCAAAGACACATGGAAGTAATTAGTCTGACTGTTATACCATGCAATACTCAGCCTGTACAACTATGAGACCAGAACTAGATGGTGCCCGGCTACCACTGTCAACCACTTGGAAGGGGATCTATGTAGGAGATCCTGGATAGAGTGGGAGAACAATATGGAGCAAAACTCAAAATCATTTTTTAAAAAAGGACCAGTTTGCTGGTCTCATAGAGCCTGATGGAACAACTGAGGCTATAGCCCCTAGTTGTCCCTTAGGTCTGGAATTAAATCCACTCCTGTGGCTTTCAGCCAAACAAAAAACAGGCATATGAGCTGAACATTTACAATTGGTAGATACACTCCTTGGAGAGATCAGTCATGGGAGAATAGAAGAGCTGTGTATGCACAGGGAGACAGTTCAGGGTTCAGGAGTGCATAAGAGGGAAGGACACAGGGAAGAGGGAACTACAGGGAGGAAGTAGAAGGGGAGCTATTGCATTGTGGTAAATTGTAGTCAATGTCATGAAACAAAGTGTGTGTGAGCT